CCTTCAAGAAAGTGTTTGCCGCACAAACGGTCGTTCGCGCGAGGCGACCATACTTTTCGATCCACGGATATTATCCACCTTCTATGCCTTTCCGAGTCTGCCGGGAACTTGTGGAAACTCACTCTGCTGCTTTTCTTGTACATTATGGCGAAATTAACGGCAACACAGCTTCGCGGCATGCTGAAATGCTATGACGCCCATGCGAAACATGCGCGCTTTTGCCCACACCCCCCGGCTCCGGCGCGATCGCAGCGCCGCCGCAGCTCCGTGACGTCAAGCCCGCGTGTCGGTCTATAAGAATGTCTCTCGACAACGTATGGGATGTGAACCAAATGTTCGAAAAGTCCTACGCGTATATCGGCAACAAGAGATTCTTCAATGTCAGAATTCTTGCGGTTTGGCTGGGTTCGCCAAATGACAGCTTGTGCGCCGCGTCGTGTTGAAACTTCAAGGAGCCTTCCTTCACCTTCACAAGTATTACGGATTACATCTTTCAAGTCCGCTCTTATTATGGTAAGTGCGCTGCAACCTACGTGTTGGCAACGATTGACCGCTCTTCTACGCGTACTCTTCCAGGTTATCTACAGAATTATGCAGCGCCTATTCACGCGGCAGCCGGGAGAATAATTTCCCCGAAAGTCTAGCTGTATAGTCTAAAATTACCTCGGTTCTTGTTTGCTTTGTAATCTTCTCAGTTGTATATAGCTTAAAGAGCCTCTCACATTTCACAGATCGTTTGTACTTGTCGTCAGAAGAGGTAATTAAGTTCGAGGATAAATGAAAATATCTTTTGTGTCTGTTTTCCTGTTCATTTGCAAGCACCTACGCGAGCGCATTTGTTCTACGTGTTTTCTTGTTATAAATACGTTTATGCGTTCCGGGACGTCTTAAATAAGTTTAAGATAACCAACCTCCCATACGATACCCATTTAGGGCTAGCGATTCCGAATGGCACGTTCAAACGTGTGGTCACGTGCCAGGTCGAACGGGCACCCGTATCAAACGAGCACCTGTATCAAGCGGGAACCTCTATCAAACGGTCATCCGTATCAAATGGGTACCGTTTCGAACGGGTACCGTTTCAAACAGGTACCCGTATCCCATAGTCACGTTTGATTCAAACGGATCGACAGGTTTGCCACCCGCTTCATTCAAACGGGTTGACCGGTTTGCCACCCGTTTGAATTTCAAATGTTTTTTTTCAGTAGGGTGACGTCACTTATGACGTCATTGGCATCCGCATCGTCATCGTCCCTGATGATGTCGTCAGTGATGTCACTGATGACGTCACCTGCATCGTCATCGTCACTGATGACGTTATTAGCGACGTCACTGATGACGTCATTGGCATCCGCATCGTCAAACAGGCTGAAGTTGAGCTAATTGGTACATAATTCAAAAGTAAACGGTCAGCTAGACGATACTGACAAAACACAGACAGGGAGAAACAGAAACAGAAACATACACACCGCTGACTATCAACTAAGATTTGTTACTTCTTCTTTAACACTTTGACCTAAAGTAACGCCAATAAATCACCTTAAATCCTTACATTACACTTCTAAATTAAAACACTAAATGAAAATAAAAATAAAATAAATTAATTACATTAAATAATAAATTTGGTCACTAACACCTCCCTGACCCAACCCACAAACTACCGCCGACACATATCACTCTTATTCCCTTTTGTCATCGTCACTGATGACGTCATCAGACATCACCAATGACGTCATCGGCATCCGCATCGACATCGTCACTAATAACATCACCACTGACGTCACTGATGACGTCATCGTTATCGTCACGTGACCCCCGTGAGGTCATGTGACCCCGGTGACGTCACGTGACCCCCGAGAGATCAGTGACCCTTGTGAGATGAAGGCGACGCCGCTCGGAGGGAGGATTAGCAGATAGGATGAGGAGGTGACGAGGAGGGAGGAAGGATATACCTTCCCTTCGGTACCATTCCCCTCCTCCTCCTCAAGAGCTCCGCTCTAATTCGGTGTTACAGGGAGGTAAACGGCTTTAATTTTTTGTCAGGCGATTTAATATGGTGCCAAGAGACTACCCAATCGATATTTTGCTGCAGAGTAACGTAGATTTTTAAAAAGCAAAAAGAAAATGGAAGACGCTTACAATTTTCTGCAATGCCGAATTAGAGCGCAGCTCTTGAGCAGGAAAAGGGGAGGGTACTGGGGGGAGGATCACGGTCTGACGTCACGTGCAACGTCAATATGGGAAACATCTCATAATCCAACGCGGGGTTAGGCCGACGGCGATGGCGACGCTGCTCAAGCCGGAAACGGGCGCCTAAGAGCTGCTCTCTAAAACTTAAGTGCTCGAAACCGAAACCTAAAACGAGCACGGAAGCTCATAGCCGGAAGTCACGTGGCTACATGCAACCGCGTTTTTTTTATAATTTTTGTCACCGTTTTTACGGCGTGTGAAGCAGACGACGAAGTTGCGTGCACCGTTCGTCATACACGGGAAGTACACGTGGTACTTCCCGTGATCTGCACAACATTTTTTTTAGAGCACAGCTACTGTAGACGCCTGTTTCCGGCTTGAGCGGCTTTGGCGTCGGCGTAACCGCGCGTAGCATTATAGGTAAATTTTCCCACTAAATTTGGAAGAAATATTTTTCACTAAATTCAGCGGAAAGTTTTCCCCCCACATTTAGAGGGGAATTTTTTTCGCTAAGTTTAGTGGGAATTTTAGCAAAACTTTTCCCGCTAAATCGGGTTGGAGCAGGAGAGGAGGAGGGGAGGGGAAGGACGCATATCCTCTTCTCTGTACCCTCCCCTCCTCCTCGTCAACAGCTGCTCTCTAATTCGGCATTACAGAGAATAGCAAGCGTCTTACATTTTTTTTTTTATGAACAAACTTTGCTGTTTTTTGGAGGTCGGAAAAAGGGGATTCATATTTTTTACTATTTTTAATACTGAATGTGCGATTTAGATGACCAACAACCTGGAATATATTTGGCTCACATAGTTTGAACGCCACGTGACCATGGAAGCGAGAGAGAGCGCGACTGAAGCCGGCCGATTTTCGACCCGCTGTTTTGGGGCAGAAAGAAATCGAATTTCGAGCCGCAAATGACGTTCCGGGTTGTTGGACTTTTATAGGATACGTTCAAATAAAAATTGTAAAGCCATTCCACTCTTTGTAGGTGGTTGGCCAGCGAAGCTGTCACGTCACCTACAACCAATGCGACGTGGCGCACACTGTTTATTTACTTTGTAACGACATTCACAACTGCTTTATGATCAGAGCAATACAGGCTAAGATTTTCAGTTCTCACTGTAGAGAGATTCTTAGCTAAAGCTAGAGCAATACATGATTCATGAATGGTAGTTGGTTGAGTTACAAAGGGGAAGGACATAAGTGCAAACTCTTCCTTGGCGAATAGGATGAAAGACTTCTTTTGCGGTTTCCAAATGTCCACGTTATAGTCCCCGAAAATGATTACCGGCGTGACTTGATCCATTGACAGTGAGGAGAACTACGTTCGCATGAGGCACTCGGTGGGAGATTGGGATTGTTTTCGGTGAGATGTAGACCTTGAAATTACGATTCCATCGCTAGTTTTCACGGAACACACATCGCCGCATTCGACTTGGTCATATTGGAGTTCATACGGCTGGACACAAGCTTGATCCCTTGCGTAGATTATGACGCCTGTCGCACAGTTGTAGTCTCGCATCGCACATCCTATTCCTGTGTATCCAGTCACTTGGCATAACGTGTCACTCGAGGGCTTCGAATGATGTACACAGCTTTCCAAAGCACCTACAACCGTAATTTGTACCTGGAAACGCATGCTCATGCTTTGCATTGTTCACAGGAGCCTTATCATCCATCGTAAGGATATGACGCTCGTTTTGTGATTTTTATTTTTTTATTTAAACGAATACTGCGCTTTATGATGTATGGCCGTGGAGGTTTTTCGACAACGATACGAAAGAAACCATGGTGCTGTAAAAACCTCAGGGAGCATAAATACCCTGACAGTGTCCTATTAAGGAACGCCGGACGTGGCTTTTTATATTCACGTTTCCTACATCGGCATCCGGTCCTCTGCCTTCTTATCGGCTAATGTCGCTATCCCATTTGCTGCGGAAAGATTTCTAAGATTCCCGGGACCCACTACGCACTTCCTCTCTTAATTAAGCTCTCGGTATGGCGCCTGGAACACGTCTCCGACTCGCGCGTTTACCACGTCAAAAAAAAAAAGAACAAAAAGACTGGTTCCTCGCTTTCCGCCTAATGATGTCGTACGAGTGTCACGCTATCGCAGGCCGCGATCCTGGCGGGGTCGAAGCATCGCAAGTGGTTGGGGCAGACGTCTTGTTCCGCCGCAAATCGCTCTCCAGATCGACAGTCGGCGGGTGCATCGGCAGCCGCGAGTTAGGACGCCCCCTGACGACAGCGACACTCGCGCTTGCTCATGCTTTCTGCCGGAACTTCTACGGCCATGTCCGACACACTACGGCGTTTGTGATGTCGTTTGCAGCCACTTCGAGAGCGCTTTCGATGCGTGGCCGAAATTGGACGCTAGAAGCGCATCAGTAGAAAATGTCTTTCAGACACTGTGTAAAATTACAAGCTCTTAGTGTACCTGCTATCGTCGCACGTAAGAAAAACAAATTGGTGCGTGTGAAGTTAATATTGTGAATGAATTAAAACGTTCAAATTATACGGAAAAAAGCATTAGCGCTGAACTTTAAAAAAAAATCACGAACTTCCAGGAGCACTTGCGAGATTTTAACACGGGGCTTTTAGCGCACAAACACTTTGTCTGAAGCCTCTTTCAGGACACATTGTGAGGTATTCATTATTACTCAAAGTCGGTGTAGTAAAAGATACAATTAATTACGCCTGAATATGCCGACGGCGCGATGCAATTAATGGCAGCTAGGCAGAGCAGTTCACGTTAACTTTTACCTCATCCTTTATTAGCAATTCAAAACATAAAAAAACGATGCTTTATTACATCACGCGAGTTTATTCGGGGTACTCCCACCGGGGGTTGACGAGCCGTCCTCCCTTTCGTCATCACTCGTGAATTGCTGAAAAGGAAAAACAAAAAGTTGTCAAATTAATTATAGTATAAATATTTAGCGAACTCTAAAGGGGTATTCACACGAGGGAGAAATCCCGGGGATTTCCCCACGGCACGCGCATCCCACGACAAAAACGTCAGGCTTTGCGATGTGCAAAAGCCTTACGTTTTTGTCGTAAGATGCGCGCGCGCCGGGTATAAATCCCCGGGATTTCTCCCTCGTGTGAATACCCCTGAAAGCACTCTTACCGTCTTGCTAAGAATCTTTAAAAGGCGTGTAAAACACGGAATATCCGCACACCATATTTAAAATTGCAGGAGCGAAGACATTTCAATGCATTTTGCACTATTGTTAAAAAAAAAAAAACACGCTGAACATTTTTTATAGACCTCTGTAAAAGACATAAATATTATGTTTATTTGTTTTCAGTTAAAATCATTTTATACACGTTATCGTTCGTTACCTATGTGACTTTTTTGAGACAGCTCAAACCCTTTGTTACGTTCAGGCGGCCCTGGTTAAAAACGAAAGACAGTTATGGCTCTTCTTACTTCACCACCTCACATATATTAATTTCTGCACTAAGAATAAAAAAAAATAAGAACATAATGTGCATATTTGCAAAATTCATTAATATATATATATATATATATATATATATATATATATATATATAATCTTTCTGTGCGGTCCACACATGTCCAAGGTGTAATGAAAGGGAGAAATTGATCATATACCTTATGCAACGTGAATGAGAAGTAAGAACTTGCACGTTACTATAGTCACTGTCTAGGTGAGAGCGGCAGGGTAGGAACTTTAGTTCTTTGCGGCCTCCGGCGCAAACTCCCCTACTTTCGACCGCACCTCGGCGTTCGGTGCAGCTCGAGGGCGTAGCCAAAGAAGGCTGGAAGGCATAGAGGGACTTTTGGAGGCCGGACCCTTTGAAAGACACGCCCTACTCTTCTCATTCTCTCAGGGTAAAAAAAAAAAAATAAAAAAAAAATCTTCAATTGTGCGATTTAAAATATAAAAAAAACTGAAACATGCCTAGTTATTTGCAAGAGGTATTATTATAAAACCATCCCTGGCGAGAGTGGAGAGCCTTATTTCAGTTCTAAAGTGCAGCCGCCCACCACAGACACACACAAGCTATATGTAACAGGAATGATGGATTTCACTTTATTGAGCTGTTCAGATATTGCATTTAAATGTACTACCAATTTTAGGTAATGCTTCGGTAATGTAGTTTATTAGAAGCAATATCTACGTACCACTGTTTACAAAATACGTATTACTGTTTACGACACTAGCCCTGCTGCGGGAGACAGGATTTTCAAACTTTCTTACTGTCTTTCATTGAGAGTCGATCATCAAGATAAAGTTAGCATTCATACTTTTTATTATTCCCTCGAATAAAACGACCCTCTGGCATGCATCGTGTCCCAATTGCTGGCAGTGTTATTTTGTTTTCGTGAATTAGTCATTTTACCTGCCTTTGTTGATCCTGCAACTTATTGTTTTATTTTTAATCTTTTTTTTTCGTGTCATTGCAATAGCGACTTATTGTTCCCCATTTCAGCCTGCTAATACTATACGCGCTCAGGATAAATAGATAAAAATAAAAAAATTAACTACGCGCAAAGCTTAAATGAAAAAAATATTTTATATACGTGTTGACAACTACATCTTGCTTCCTGTGCTCTATCTTTCTTTATCATTTAGCTTCCATTGAACGGTTATTCAAGAACATTTATATTTCGAATTTCAGTGGAGCTTTAGCATTTTATGTTATTTAGTCAAAACTGACTGGAACTTTCGCTACTGCTATTTAAACGTACGACTGGAAAAGAAGAGAACCTCTGGTTGAAACTGCGCTACAAATAATTTCGACAAAAAAAAAAGACAAACAATGTCCGGCTTTTTTTTTTTTAAGTTTAGGGTGTGTTCAATTCTCAAGCATGAAATGAATTCACGGGGAGTGTCATTATTAGTTTAGGTACTTAAATACTCTAAAAAAATGCATCTAATTATTCTCGCCCAAAAAATCGCTTTTTGTGTGTGTGTGTGTTTGTGTTTCCTCTCATTGCAGGAAAACAAAGGGAAAAGTATTGTTGCTGTCATACGTTTTTTTTTAATAGTATTAAGTAAGATTTTCTATCTACCTTCTACAACTTTCTAAATACACGGATTACAAAGAAAAAAAAATTTCGTCAGTTGTTTATACAGTAGGAGTTCAGTCTGCGAGAACATGGCGACATTGTTACCCACTGTAGATGACCAATTTAGCCAGTGCAGTACGAGTGCTCGCCTGGGGTCATCCACGTCCGCCACGCAGTAGTGATACACGACCGCACGCCGGTACGATGCTCATCCAGATAGAAGCCGGTAGATGAGATGAAATGTGAACGAGTGTGTACGTATTTTGTGTGCTTCTTACTGCTAAAATTCCGAATGAATTGGCAGTGTTTTGAAATACAAAATAAAAAAATAAACGGACAGGGGTGGTGACTGAATCCAGGATCCCTGGGTACTGGAGCGCGAGCTTTCGCTGAACGTGCTCCGAGCTGGTGTGGGCTGGCCCACTCGGCCACCGACCCCCCCCCCCCCCCCCCCCCCCCCACATATTAGGCACACGGTCCTCCATATTAAACAAAACTCAATAATTTGGAACGAAAAGGGGGATGTCGACAGAAAATAGGAATAGTCTAAGACTCCTAGTTCCAGACAAGCTTCTCCCGCGTGTCTCAGTTACAAAAAGAAAAAAAAAAGCTTTGAAAAATTTGGTTTGGTTTCTACGTAAATAGATGGCTCACAAAAAACTTATCGTTATAAAAAGAAGAAAACTTAATCTCCAAGTCTTTGTTCCGCTTTGCCGGACGTTCCCGTAAAAAGTGCTGCCTACTATCATGTTGTATGTTATTCCACTCAAAGTTTTATTCAACTGTCTACACCTTTACTAAACGTAACTACGAAAAATTTGTTTAGTGACTGCGGTCGTTCCGAAAATAAACGAAGTATTGCACAAAAGATTTTATAATTTTATGGCTGAACAACGTTTATATTTAGGTGCAGGTGCACATTACATTCAATAAGTTGTAACAAGATGATTCTTTATAGCATCTCACCGAGGAATTGGGTGATATATTCTATGGATCATGACCAGTATAGCGATTCTTGAATTTTTCGTGTGAGCCAGATGACCTGGAGCTCATAACCCCTGCCTATTAGTGAAGTGTTCAACTTAAAAAAACGCCCGAGAACCATGGATTATACTATTCGTCTAATCACAAATTACAGACGCATTTGCTGACAGAACGACAGAATTCATTCGAAGAGTTCTTTTTTTATATATATATGTGAGACAATTCAGTGATTGGCTCAAAAGAATACATAAGTTTTCAAAGTTAGATCACACATTAGTGTCTGGATTATTCCGAAGCTCAAATAAAAATTGAAAAAATAACTGCTTCTCTAATTGTTATATAAGTGGAACGGAAACGAAAGTTTTGCTCTGATTTCTTTGTCTCGATATGGCCTATGTTGTGGCGGCAGCAAAGTAGCACTAGTCTAGACTATTGTTTCTGGGCTGACGGCGGAAACGTCAAGAAAGCTAATATTAAAATGAACAAACAGATTTCCAGACATCTCTTGGTGGCGTCTGTGAAGCTCCGCTAAAATGCCATCACGTCATCGGCCTCTAAGAAGCAGCACCACCTCGCGGCAGTATGGCTCTCCTGTGGAGTTACTTAGTGCTGAATGTTACCTAGCGAAGAACGCTGACTAGTCTACTACGCTGCCTATGTTAACTTAGCTTCCACAGTGCTTCCGCAACGTGAATTCCAGACCATCAAGACCGCCGTTTTTTCGCAGGTGGGAGCTTGATCTGAGAATGCGAGGATTTCTGCCAGACCAAGTATACCACTCCCCCAACCCCGGGGATGCGCTGTGAACAACGCGCTCAAAATACGAAAATATCGCCCCCTATGAATACCTTATATACATGGCTTGCATGCAGGTTTCGCCATTGCTGGGCGCTGAAGGTTCTTTCTAGATACTGGTTCCCTCAAGCCGCGTGTGAAACTAACGCGATGAACCGAGCGCTTGTGGTGTGGCACATGAGAGACCGGCCTGGACGCGAATGACGTTACAGGCAAGCCATAGGTAGAGGCCATAGGGCGTACAGTCCTCGTGTAATACTACCAGGCGAGATCATCATCCGTTGACGCCACCAAGCGGCAACGCTCGCAACTACAGTATCATCGGCCATGCAGGAGACATTGACGTCAATAGCGCGATACGCATTGCGCTCTTCGCTAGCGATTTTGAAGCGAGAGGAAGAGAACTCGCCGTCCCGTCATTTTGTTTCCGTACTTCTTTAAACAAGAGATCGCGGTGATGATGAAAATAAAGAAGAATATCCAAATTAAAGCACTCTTCACAATCCCGTTGAAAATGATTATGCCACTGATATTTTATTTTTATTGTTAAATCTAAACTGACGCACTATATTTATCGTTGTTTTTTCGTTTCATGCGGAGGCAATTTATTTATTAAATTAAATTAGATTATTAGTGAAATTATATTTTAATTCATTTGAATTAATTTAAAAGATTCGTGGAAATGTTTATGGCATATATAGTATTAATTATTGTCGATGGTTATCTCGGCTCAGCTCGCTTGTTGGCATTTACTTTTTTCGCCATTCTTAAGCAAAATCGATGCCTCACCTCCAGTTCCTGAAGGACTTGGTCCATGAAATCCGTCGGATGTTTCCGGTACTGCACCGCTGCAGCGATCGTTTCGCGGAACATCTGCACAAAACCAAAAAAAAAAAAAAAGAAATATACTTTTCAACGTGCGGTACTAAACAAATGACTCTAGGTCACCTGGTAAAGGTCAGACAGATGGCATCTTTTTGAATGCCAGAAACTGAGTTCAATCAATTATACATATAGGTTAATAAATATGCGCATGCAGTTACTCATGTCACAACCGAAAAGACCAGTCGTGATTAATGTCATACAGTTTAAGGCAACAAGACTGAATACAAAAAGGGATGCTGAACCAAACATTTCAGTTTCCAGTATAAGTGACACACGATCTTTTCATGAGCCAACAGCCCACCGGTGTGCGCTAGCACACGCAACGAAATTGATGTCATATTCCCCCATTCACGCATAAGACGACAGAGAAATGTGTGGTCTCCGGGGAGAAAGAGAAAAAAGACGAGTTCTTCATCACCACAGTGTGGTCTTGTGTAAAGCTGGTTCACGCAGACCCGTTTTTTTTTACGTTACGTTACGTTACGTTAGGAAAAATCACCGGGAAATCTGTGCTTCGTATTAAGCGTGGCTACCAATTCAAAGAGAAAGCATGACACGCGACATTCAAAACACGAACGTTTCGGTGACTTATACGTACATAACTTAACGTAAGAAAATGGGGCAGTGTGAATGAGCCTTTACACAGCACCGTTGTCTTACGTTACGTCAAAGTCACGGAAACATTAGTGTGTCGAATATCGCGTACCAGGCTATATTCTTGAATTTGTTGCCACGCTTAGTAGGAAGCACAGATTTCCCGGTGACTTTTCGTAGCGTAACATAACGTTACGTAATAAAACGGGCTTGTGTAAACCAGTCTGTAGAAGGCAGGCGATTAATTAATTTAACAAGGACGTAGCTTTCCCTTGTGATGATCAGAAGCCTGTTTTTATTCACCTCGGGCCCGGGGCTCGTACATTTCACTGTCATCTTTAGCGTAAATAGAGGACTATGACATACATTTAATTTCGTGTGCTCGCGCACACCGGTGGCTGCTGGCTCGTGGAAACATCGTGCGCCGCTTATTATGAGCACTCAAATATTTTGTTCAGTATTCTTTTAAAGTAGAACTATAACGACTTATTCCAATGGGACAGGTCATTGGATTTTAACTGACGTTGGCGTGGAGCGGCTGCACAATCTGGTTACTATATGCGTCATGCTTCAACGCCATTGTGTTCATGTCTCCACCGAGGACAAAATGTTACGTAAATTGATTTGAAAAGAAAAAGAAAAATACGCAGCCTTTCTCTCAGTTAAAAGATACAGAAGCACTTCCAGTTGGCGGATGGTAAATTACCGACAATACACAAGCTCACTTCTAAATCACAACCTTTCGTAGTATCTAGCAACGAGAGAAAATTCGGGAATAACTTGAGCATAAAGGAAGACTGCTCCAATCACCACCAAACTGAACTGGGACGTATAAAAAATATCAAGAATTTAGCGCGAGAAAATGAACCTAAGGTTCTTGCCTATCAAGATTGAAACAAAGAAAGGAATAACTGTGCTGTCTGTCCTTGTCTCTAAGTGTTTTTATTCTTTCTTTGATTCTTGTATTTCCACCGACCCACTGTTTGTTTTTTTGTTTCTAGCCCGAGGCGGTCTTGAAAATGGAGGGGATAATGTCGTCATATTTTTTCCAGTCCCTAAGTAAACATGACAACTAAAAAAAAATGAACTGCGGAAATGACGCCTGCCACGCTGACCTTTTCTTCTTCCTTTCTACATGCTCCACTAAGTGTCTTCCTAAATAATGTTATTTCCTAGAAGGTACACATCTAGAACCTGACAAGGATTGGTGTTCTCAACCAATTCAAGCTTCTGCTTCCCAATCCATTTTCTGTCGACGGTCGCCCAGTCTCATTCCCCATTCCAGTCTCATTCGCCCGAAGCGGGCAATAAAAGCCGTCAGATTTTTCGCGTCGACTCGGATCTGCTCCGAATTACTGATCCGCGACGCCGTTTCTGGTAGCGTGAGAGCAAGGCTTGAATCTCCTCTGCCACATCTGAAAGTCGTTCCCGTAATAGACTTGCAGTTGTCTGGAGGTCGTTTCTAAATACATTTTTTTTTTATTAAAGGGGAATGAAGAGAAATTGTATCGAACTCGTCTTACTCTCTTTACGTTCATTAAAACGCAAATTTGCGGTTTCCCAATTTCCCGGCCAAATATTGCGTCTGGATTTTACAAACCGCGTTTAAAATTCCTATGTTCTGGAACAGTGTTCTAGATGACGTAGTGGCGAGAGCGGCACCCGCTTACAATTGGCCGCGTGATGAAGGTCAACGTAGATGGCCGCGAGTGGCGCTGGAGCTCCGAGCCCTAGGAGAATTCTTGGCAGATGGCAGATGTGCAATGAGCGAAGAAAAAGACGAAGCTGCGGTGGTACGCTTCTTCCGAACGTAGCACCATAGCACTTTTCTTTGTGGTGCAGTGGTGGGGAGTCTTCACCGTTTCGTGTCCGTCTCGGTCATGAATGCAAGAAAAAAGACGGACACACACACTGCTTCTTGGCGGGGTGCAAGCCGGGCTACACGGTCCGCGGTCCTTTGCTGCTTTTAATTTTTGTAAATGATCTAGGATCCTGTAATAAACACACGCGGTCTTTGTTATTTGCTCGTAATATTCAGTTGTTTTCGGCATGTAAAACGGTTGACGATTGTGAAGGTCTTCAACGTAATATAGATTCTATTTCGGCGTGGTGCTTTTCAAATGACCTACTCTTAAATGAGTCAAAGACGAAAGTTATGTCCTTTTCTAGGAAGCGTGAAATTCTGAGTTGGCCCTATGTATTGTATTCCAACGATATTACTCGCGTTGAGGTCATCCGTGATCTAGGCGTTTTTATGGATCCTCGAACGAATTTTAATCATCGCGTGACTACAATTGCGAATGCTTTTTTTAGAGTGCTGGGAGCCATTACACGAGTGACACGCAGTTTTCCTAAACCCCTTGTATTTTACGTTTGTTTTCCTTACTGGTGCGTAGTCGTGTTGAATATGGCTCGGTTGTCTGAAATTGTATTGGAGCGACAAATTCAGGTGTAATTGAGAGTGTTCAACGTAGATTCGTTCGTGTTTTGTTTGATCGTTATTTTCAACCGAATTATTTTTATAGTTATGAGAGGATTTGTGAACTCGTAAAGTTAGACTCGGTGCACAACAGGAGGACAATTCGTGAACTGACATAGTTGTATAAGATTGTAAATGGTACAATTGATTCCCCATAGCTGCTCAGTCAAATCTACTTGAACGTTCGTAAGTCTTGTAGGCTTTATACTTTTTTTTTTTTTGTTTACCCTGCCGAGTTTTACCAGGCTGCACCCATGGCACGCCTAAAACTGACTTATAAACATTTAGAACAGATTTGTGGGAATGCTAGTCTTGATATTTTTGATGAAGAGCGTAAATTATTAAAGTGTGTTGATGCTATTATTTTTTCCTAACGTTTCGCTTTTATTCTGTCTGACATTTTACTGCTAATTGACTCACTGATAAGTGCATCACTAAGGAGGCGTTAAACTGTTGGTGGGCCACTTAAAGTAAGAATAAATAAATAAATAAATAAATAAATAAATAAATAAATAAATAAATAAACAAGGGCAGCGGAAGCACCAGCAATCGTAAGCCGTCGCCGTTTCGTGCGCTAAAGGAGGAGACGCGCAGACTACAGTGGGAACAAAAATCTTAATCGAGAAGACAAACGCCTCGCCGAGACATCAGCGGTGTGCGAAAAACATTTTTAACCGCCCCTTATCCTTCGGGACTATGTTCACATCGTCAATGGCGGAGAGGTTAGGATTCTATAAAGCAATATATTATGACAATTTTTTAGTCTTTTTTCCGTAGTATGTTGCTGGATATCTGTCATGTGCTTGCTGTGTATGTCGATGAAGTGTATTACCACTTTTGAGAGGTCATAAAGCTATGACTTGAAAATATTTTTTTTTTCATATTAGGGGTTGTTGAAGTTTTTGTTCATATTGCATTTTAATGCTTCATGTACTCCCAATCGAGGTATTTTTTCTTCATAGACTGCCTTCCACAAAAGACAATTTGCTATATGTTCGCCGGCTGCAGTGGCAACTTGGCCGTTCCAAACGCGCTCGGCCTTGCGCCTTACATAACCCTGGTCCCCGCATCAGTAACACGATGACAAAAAACAATACACCAGTTTATTGTTCCTCTCACCATTAAAAAAGTAAGAGATTTATTAAGATTTATTTGTCTATTTTTCTCGTTATATCAGTATCGAGTGGTTTCTTTCGCAGCTATTATAAGCGTGCAGCCCAAATGATAGCGTTGCTGAACGACCTGTCAGTACTGGGAAAGGAGCGGGGGGTGGAGGGGGGGGGGGGGTCGATATTAATCAAATGATTTCCATCAAAAATACGCGAACAATGAAAGTACAGGATAGCACACACTCTAGAGACATTAGGCCAAAAGAAAACCTACAATTGTTTTCACATTAGCAATTGTTTTGCGTCGCAAAAAGCTCCAGTCGAACCACAGCAGTAGACGCCGAGCAGCCCCGACGACGAGGCTGACAGGGGCACGTTCCTAGGGATCAGAACAGCAGCGCTACGGTGTCGTCTACGCGCAATATCTTCACGCGGCGGTAGCCGCTCTGGCCAATAGAACTCTCTAGACCACTGTAGTTCTGGAGATTCTGATACGATCATACGACACGTTCACGGTGTGGGAACAAGAGGTAGCAAAACGTCATCATAAGTCATATATGAAGAGGAACAGATATTTAACTTCCCTTTACCAAGCGATTGAAAACTAAAGAAATGAGTAATAATTTGTTGACGCTCTTCTATTATTTACATGATAGTGCGTCTTGTGATTACGATTGAGTTTCGGCTTCAAATACTTCCCGATATTCTTCCGCTCGGTAACCATAGCAACAGTGGCTCTGTCGGCTGCTCGGTTGCTTGTCGTTTCGCGTAGCAGATCGAGACCTTGACCTCGCGGGAGGTTTAGG